ATATTCTTTAAAATATACCAGAAAAATAATTAAAATAATGTAAAAATAAATAATAATATATTCTTTATATTTGTTTGGTTTTTATATTTCCATATTTAGTCTTCTTATTTCTTTACAGATTCATTCTTTTATAGGCTCTCCATATTCAGAGACTTTATTTCAGCTAATAAGGAGGATCTATTGACAGAAATTTGTCAAAATAACATCCATAGGTTGTTTTCATCACAAATAATCACCTGGAACATTAGAATCTTTGTTGTTAGTTTACCTTAGAATGGGGACGTTTTATCTACAGAGAGCGGGTCCCTCTCTTCTCTATCTCCCCCTGGTGCTGACTGCAGTATAGACTCTCTCTCTTCTATCTCTCCCCTGTGGCTGACGTGCAGTATAGGACTCTCTCTCTCTCTATGTCCCCCTGGTGGCGACTGCAGTATAGACTCCTCTCTCTCTCTCCCCCTGGTGCTGACTGCAGTATAGACTCTCTCTCTTACGCCCCCTGGTGCTTTACTTCAGTATAACTCTCTCATCTCTCTCGCCCCTGGGGCTGACGTGCGAGTATAGACTCTCTCCCCTCTATCTCCCCTGGTGGCTGACTGCAGTACTAGACTCTCTCTCTATGCTCCCCCTGGTGCCTGACTGCAGTATAGACTCTCTCCTCGTCTCTCTCGTCCCCGCTGGTGGCTGACTGGCAGTTATAGGACTCTCTCCCTCTCAATCTCCCCCTGGTGCTTTTTACTGCAACTAATGTAAGCTAATATCCAACGCAGGAATTCAGATCCTGACAGTAAACTTCCTGCCTTTCATAACTGTACTGGAATCAAGTTCGGATTCACAGGATGTATTCACAGTTTCACTAACGTGTCTTTCTGGAATCAGGACTGGGTACTGAACATCGATGCTTTCACCTGAGTCAAGGCGCTCCTAAAGGATTTAAAACCCTGTCCCAGCTTTGCTGTGGCTCTCTCTCTTCGGCTGCATCGCCGCCAAAGCAGCTTTTCTGTTGAGTTCTTGGTTTGATTGTTTTTCACTTGACAATCATTTACACTTCATATTGCTCACACATCCACAATTTACATACTGATGTTTAAGTCAATATAATAAAATTACAAATTGTGGCCATCGTATTTTGTCCTAGGCTGTATTTTTTTATTGGGCCCAGCACGTGTGTTTATGACACCGTACTGACTGAATTGCTTCAATACTACAGAGGAATTAAAATTGTCTTCTCATCACCCCTAGTCGTGTTTATTTTGGGTGCACCCCTGCATTAAGTGATCTGCACCCCGCCCTTTCATGTTAGGCAGAGTACCTCTGGTCAAAGAAATGAAAGGCCTCCTCTTGCACCAGCACTCGATCTTTGTGGCTCACCTCTCTTCGTCAGCTGGCTGCGATTAGAACTATTTTCCTACAGTTTTATTATTTTTAGTGTAACGTTTTGTGTCTATGGTCCGCGATGTCTTCCTTCAGTTCCTATTCATGTTGCTTCATTTTTTCTGAAATGGATCAATGGTGTATGTTTAAATTTCCAATTAACTGTTATATCATAAAAAAGCTCTTCTATTGTTATTAAAGCTGTCTTTGTAGTCCTGAAGACTTTAGGTTTCTTGAAGAGCTGTTCAGTGTACGACGGCGTCGACTCAAAACTTAAGTGAAGCAGCAAGAACATACATCCATTGATCTAAATCTTAACTGAATAGATTTATGGAATCCAGTTAAAGATAATAGTTATTTAGGATCCTTTAGTACATAAAAGATACTAATACTAACTCTGAAAAACTCTGCTTACAAATAAGTACTGGGGTGATGAGTGGTACTATCTGATATCATTATATTATTCTGACTCAACATTAATGTAAATGAGCAGTGATTGTTACTGTTGGAGTTGGTGCGCTTCATTTCAACTATTGTTGTGTATCGACTGTCAACCTTATAGATATTTTCATTATGGATCCATTCTGCTGGATCACGTTTCTGCATCTAATCCGTTGATTTTACGCTTACCAAAGCTTGCAAAATATAGTGAGAATGCTCACAATGGAGTTCCAAAGTCCACCTTCACAAGTGCTGGTCAGTCCGACCATGACAGTCCCAGCTCCAAATGGATCTCAAATACATTCAATTATACAACAGTCAGAGGAAAACAGCAATCTGAAAGGTTTGATTTCAATAAAAATCATGTTTTATCAACTCGTTCATATGTTTATGTGGTAAAAATCTGTATTTTGTAGATTAGTGCAGTATAAAGACTACAGCGCCTATTCCCCTCTGAGAGCACTGCGGACAGAAAATAGAATATCGTCCACTTCACTCCTCATCGAGGGATGATCTTTTGTACCACTGAAAGTTGCTGTGGAACTCAGGGAATGCCTGCAGTTAACTGTGTGGACAAATTTTTAGGGGTGTGTCGCTCTTCGGTCTCCATGGAGACGGATCAACACGGAGTTGTCGGTCCAGTCTGCTGGTCAGGTAATCAACACAACTCACGCTGTTATACTGGAGCTTGGTTCTCCCAGAGACGATGTAGGGACCTCTCCTCCTCCTCCTCCTAGCCTTCTTAGCCTCTTCCTCGTCTTCCTCCTTTCCTGTCCTCCTCTCCCTCCTCCTCTTCTTCCTCTTCCTCCTCCCCCTGCAGCGATCCTCTCTCTGCCCCTCTCTCTTCTCTCCTCCTCCTCTTCTCCTCTTCCTCTCGTTCCTTCTCTCTACTCTTCCTTCAGCGAACAGCGATGTCCATGAGCGACCTCCCGTGTTCACGCAGGCGGTACACGGTTTGTGTGTGTTACTCTTCCTCTGCTTTCTGTCTTAAGCGAACACGATGTTTCCATTAAGTCGGACAGACAGCGTCAAGAATTCCCAGAACAGAAAGCTTCAGATCGGTCATCCCGCCCTTCATTTCTCAGAATAAACTTAGTATAGACCTTCAGTAAACTATTTTATAAATACGTATAATTACTCATATAACTTTATTATTACATATATTTTTCGATACATTATAATATATGGATTGTTGACACTTTATATGCTGGAATGTAAGTTCATTTACTCAAGTAGCTACTGTATTTAAGTAAGAATTCAAAATAAATGATTACTATTATTATTATGGAGCGATAATGTATCAGCAGGAATTTAATAATCAGAATAATACATAATACATTTGCCATTATTGGACGATTACTCTGCCTTGATAATTATGTTACATCCAGTATTTGTAGTTGAGTATTTTCATTTAATACTGCTTTATACTTCTACTTCACTTCATCTCAGAGATATACATTGCACTTTTACTTCTTTATAAAATACAACATGTTTTTAAAGATTGAAGTTCTCAGCCATCTTGACTTGATATATTTAAAAGAGACATAAACATTAATAAACTCTGCTGTACAAACGTCATTTTATCACTTAATGAGATTATTCATAAACTGTTTGTTTGTACCAGTAAATTGGGTTTATAGTATAAGACAAAAAAACAACATAGACAATATGATAATTTAAACTGCTCAAGGCTCAAATAATCTGGATTTAATAAGAGAGAAATGACAGTAAAACCACAAAAATCGTTAAAATACAGGGAGGATCTGTGCCACGTTGTTACAACTTGTTCTACACGTTGGGACTATACAGCTCCGTCCAGGAAAAAGCTGAAATGAAAGCATTGGTGTTGGTACCCTTTGTAGCTTCAGCAATCAGAATAATAAAAACATTCATTTTAGTTACAAATCATACAGGAAGTCATTATGCTACATTGTGAGATAGTTTTTTAAAATATGCAACACAATAATATGGACTTAAGAGGATGACATTGTGCTGCATTAATAGACACTAAGTGAAACAATCAGAGCAGAAGCACAGGATATAAAATCTGTAAATACTACAAAATATTATAAAGTTACTTTAAAGTGGGGCCTGAGACTGCCGGCCCGGGGGTCATTTCTGGCCCTTCAATCTGGCAACATGATTTCAAAAATATAATATAAATAATAAATATACATTTTTCCACTGTTGTAACTCACATTTTTCCAGATAGAAAACATATATATATATATATATATATATATATATTTTTTACATATAAAGCCTTTTACTGTCATTCCAGCTATTACTTTTATTTTTGCTCCAGAGTAATAATAAGTTACAGAGGACAGGGCAGATACAGGACAGAGGTCAGTGCTGTAGATGCAGGTCAGAGGTCTGTACTGTTTATTTGATTTAAGTAATAGTAACAATAATGAAACTGTAATATAGGTATGGGCTGTAGATACAGGAATGGGGTCTATACAGTCTATTATATTATATTATATTATATTATATTATATTATATTATATTATATCTATTATATATTATATAGTACTATTATATATATAATAGTAACAATATTATTAATATTAACTTTATTTCACTAATTTTCAGAGAGACAGATAATAAAGATTTGACAATAATAGTAAGTTACAATGGACAAGAAGGATACAGGACAGAGGTAAGTGCTCTAGATACTGCTCTGGGATCTTTCAGAAGCTGTGCCAGTAGTGGCGACAGCAGCAGATGCAGCAATCAACAGTTTGTTCAGGAAATACAAATATTGTAGTTTGATATTTGGCTCCAAACAACAAAAATATATAAAAACGTATGAAACTGCTGTTAAAGTCTGATGTTGGTAATGAAAATACTTTCAGAATATTGTGCTTTCTTGTAGTACTTGAACATTGAAGTTGCTGCTATATTTACAGTATGTTCCTAATCTCAGATTTATAACTTTGAATAATAATAAAATTAAACACTATCATCATTGTAATTATTTTTATTATAAGTAGTAGTAAAATCTCCATCTCTATCTCGGTTTCAGTCTAAGTTTACAGTGAACCTGTCCTCGGTTCACAGGGAAGCTGACAGGATGTACAAGTTTCAGGAGGTGGGGTCAGGCCAGGCTCCGCCCCCTGGAAGAGGCGGTCTGGTTGCTAAGCGATACAGCATCCTGCAGAGTCTGGGCCGAGGAAGTTTTGGCTGCGTTTATCTGGTTCAGGACAACAAAGCTTCAGACGGAGAAGAGCTGTGAGTACATTTACTTTTTTATCTTTTTTGATCTTGTTTTGATGCTGCTGGTTGATTTGCTGTCTGTTTGTGAGAGCAGAACAACTTCTAACTTTTGTCAATTCAAACTCTGAACATACTGAAAACATCTTTTCACCTGTGATCTCCAGCTGTTATACTCTGTACACCCTGTTTTTAGAAGCCAGCTAACCCAAGAGGGGTTTTAAAACGTTTATGGGGATCAAGATGTAAGAGAATTTCCTCAACACATAAAGGAGCACTTCATCCTTCGGTTCATCCCAAACATTTAACAACAGATAAATGTAGAGGAGTAAAAAGTACAATATTTGTCTCGTTATCTATCACTGCTACAGCTGCGGTTTCTCACTGGTTTCATGTCAGTTACCTGGAGCTGACTGTTGTCTTGTGATGGTGGTTCAAATGTTTTATAAATGTGAGAATGAGCAGCATTTACAGTAACAACAGTTCTGCAGGGCGTCACTAGAGGGCAGCATCAACCTGTGAAATCACTCACACACACATTCCTGTACTGACCATTCAGTGTGTGTTCCTGTGGCTGTGTGTAATGACACGTCTTCCATCTGATCTGAGTTCAGCCAGATTCAGATTAACACCCTGTCCACTACAAACCCGTAACAGAGAAATATTATATTATGATATGCTGTATGCTGTACACGACCCCCGACACCACTGGGGGAATGTAAGTCCTCCAGTACTGTACTTTTACAGTTAAAAAACATGTATGTTTATTCATGTTGAATTTGAATGTTTGTGATCAACTGATTACTCAGATTTGGACTTAAAGAGGCAGTAATACAAAGGGATGACATTATTGGTTTAAACTAGGGGAGTTAATGTTGAGGATCTGTCCTGTCTGATACTTTATATTTATCAAAATTTTGATTAAGTACCTGACACATTAAACTAAAATATATCAAATCTTTTTAAATCACGCACATTTGTTGAACTACTTGATCCAAATACTGAAGGCTGCAGAGAGACCTTCAACCAGACAACAGAGGAGTTTTATTTTACATCAGTTTACTCACTGAATTAACAGCTGCTATGACCTGCAGCACTGTCGTTTTAACCTGTGAAAGTGCCGCTCATTGCCAGCTGAACATGAGACGCTGCTGTTTTCTACACTCAGCTTTGATAATGATAATTAGTAGCAGCTTGAAGAGTCAATCATCGTACGACCAAATCATTTTCACATTCACACACTCTAATTTTCACTCTCATACGCAGTGAAGTACTGTAATGTAGAGTATATAATATATACAATAATATAGTTCAGTAGAGTTCAGTAACACAGTGAAATCAGTCTCCAGGTAAAGAGAGACATCCTCATTGGCCGTTGGAAGCAGAATTTGGTGCAGCAGGTTGCATTGATGCAGTGATGGTGATCTGTGATTGGGGGTTGTTTCTCATTCCACCTGCCCGGGTCGACCAGGTAAGATCCTTCAGAACTGCAAGACTGCAGAACTCAGTTTCAGGTTTATTTTTCTCCCTGAAAATCTCTCTCTCCTCCTTTCTCACAGTGTCTCTCTGTCATGCTCTGTCGCTTCCTCACCATCCACACACACACACACACACACACACAGACACATAGACATACACACACACACACACACACACACACACACACACAGAGCACACAGACACACACACACAGAGCACACACACACACACACACACACACAGACACACAGACACACACACACACACACACACACAGACACACACAGAGCACACACACACACACACACACACACACACACACACAGACAGACACACAGACACACATACACACACAGACACACACACACACAGACACATAGACACACACACACACACACACACACACACTGTTTCGGCTGTCTGACTCTGGATGGGACTCAACAGCAGGATTTACTGAAGCTCATTTAGAAGTGACAGAAGGCTTTCCTGTCTCTCTCTCTCTCTGTCTCTCTCTCTTTCTCATATTCATGTGTTCATTCGTCCTCTGAGGTGAGAAGTCAAAGACGTGATGAACATGGAGGAGGTGAAGGATTTCTCAGGTCCTGGTCCTCCTGTAAACCTGCAGAAACATGCTGTCATCCTGTCACTTTTAATACCACAGACGTGACAGACTGCCCGACCAAACCAATATTTTTTCTGCGTTTTGAACAAAACGTGTGTGTTGAAATAAACAAACTAAACGTCTCTTTGCTGGTTGTTCGGACACATTCAGAATCAGTAGTAGTTTTCTTTTAGCATTTAACAGGCGGATGTTCAACTATACAGATTTAAATAATGAAATTAATATTATAACTGTTACACAACTGATTGACCAGGAAAATCTTCAGGGGCAGCCCTCTTCATGTTGCTCTTTACTCTCACTGGGATGTTGAGGATGAAGGTGAAGAGACAAACTTTGACAGAGCAGGTTGAGCTGCAGCGTGTTGCTCAAGGGCACTCAGTCAGCAGAGCTCTCTGTCTCCATTACACTGCTGCAGGACGACACACAGAAAGAGCCAACGAGTCTTTGTGTTGTCAGAAAACAGATGGTGAGTCGGTGTTCGGAGTCGTCATCTCTGCCCTTTCACCATCTGACAGGTCTCACCCCTCCTCCTCACCCCTCCTCACCCCGTCTCTCCTCCGTTGCCAGATTTAGACATGGTGACCCGATCAATGTGTCAGCGTTTGCTCATAAATCTCTGCGCGTCAGAGACAAACTTCACAACTTCTCGTGTCTGTCATACAAAAATAATCTCAGATGTGAAGAAAAGATCTTCATCTCTCACCTGAAACTCAAATTAACAACAAATAAAAACCAACAGAAGCTTTAAGGATAAAACTATAAGGGCTTCAGATCTGTATTTAGGAGCTTTCTGATGCGCCGTGACCCCAGCTGTCCGTTGGGATGTGGTATCCATGACGACTCAAAAGAAACTCCTGTTGACAGCTTTCATGTCTCAGTCGGTGACAGTTTGTTTTCACCAACCAATCAGTCTCTGTTCAGTTTGACATTTGTTCAGTGTATTTCCTCGATTATGAAACATTTGACTTTATCGTGTGTCTGGCTCCACGTTGCAGGGTGTTACAGGGGTTTAACTGTAGTTTAATCAATTAATGGTTATC